CGCCATACCCGAATTGCGTTTAGACTATTCAATAAAAAAGAAAAATAGTCGAGCTATACCATTAGTTCACAGCTATAGCATGTTTCCTGAACATTAGTTAAAATTTTCATTCCCAAATTTGCTTAATTAAAGTTCTTGTCAATCAACGGTTTACAAATAAATAAGAACCGGAGGCGTTCCATGAAACGCTTCTGATGAATCGATTGACTGTGAGCGGGCTTTTATTGGAAACTTAAAAATGTCGCTGTATTTACAGAGAAAATGAGAAATTGGCGAAGGACCTGAACAATTTCAAACGCGAATACGTATTCTTGTTGCAGAATTGCATCAAAATACCGTTCAATGATCAGCAACCCGTAGACATACTCCAAGTGAAGCTACTTGGCGGCAGTGTTGTAAGCTTTTCCAACAATTCATTTCCAGTTGGTGCAAGCTGCATTTAACAGAAAAACGTTTGCGACTTAGTGGATCGAAACGTTTTGTTCCAATTTTGCTTAGTTTATCAATTATAAGTTTATCATTTGTCAGTTTGTCAATTATCAACTTTACGTTCCATTTCATATTTTCTTTTTTTTCCTCCTTTTATTTAATGTATTAACCTACAGTCATTAATTTACTTTAACTAACTAATTGCTCTTTTTCTGTTTGTCTCGTTCAAATCTGTTAACGTTAGTTTTATACAAACTTTACAACCCATTTTGTGCTTGGTGAATATTTTTGTTCCTCATTTACATGTGTTGTGAATTCCAAGACCCCTCGGACAATCACTGTGGGTATCCCATGTTGATGGTGTCACTGAGATGGCCCAAATTCAGCACTGGCTTTCGCATGGTTTTTCGGATGGAGACATTCGCTTATGTAAAATCCACTTATGTTTTGGCTGTTTTTTGCTTGCAGTTTTTTGACATTCCTCATTTGTCATTTGTGTATTTTTTTCTATACTTAGCATTTTTTGATCAAACTTCCGACAGCTTAATTTAATATTTTTTTCCATCCCATTCTTTAGTGTAAAGAGTAACATTACTTATTTAGCAGTGCGCGTAAGCATTAGAAATGTACCAAATGCAATAGATTACAAGTTATAAGTCAGGTTCTATAAATTAGCAAATATTTGTAAATAAGTCGAGTTATACTTTAAAATATAAACAATATGTCAAAATATATTACGTCTAAATACTAAATATAATATCAAATGTAGCGTATTTAAGTATCAAAATGTATCACAGCGATTAATTTTTGAATTCTTCACTGGTTATTCTATCAATAAAGCGAACGACTGAGCTGATCAAAATATCAGTTTTTTTAGAAAATCTTTTTTAGGTCATTTTTTCAGATTTTCCTTACATCATAATAACGAATTCACAATGCTGGTCTTCATTTTTTTGCCATAAAAATAATAATTTTTTCAATCGCATTAAACAACCATTTGGTCAGCTCTACGTCAGGTGGCACGCACCAATGGACGTGTGCAGCCCGGGAATGAAGGGCTTAACACGGGTGTGCCTGGTGCTTGCGAGTACCATCATAGTAATATAACTAACATGGAATATTCACAGTGATAGCTGAGACGGTTTTGCTATTCTTAGTATTAATTTCTTCATTTTCCTGCAAATTAGATTCTATATAACTGAAAGTTTTGTAGCACAAGAAGCGTGTAATCAGGCTTCTGGAAGAAGCTCGGGCAATTGATCCAACATTGCCCACATTTGAAAGGTACTTCCATAATGTTTATTTACTTCTACATATTGATAGAACCCCCAAAAGCACAGAGAACACGAGTTATTCAACAAAGAAACCTTTATTCGTTCACTCCGATGTTTAGTTCTTTTGACACAAAAATCAAGAAAAATTCCGACAAAATTATCAAAAACTGAAGAATAAAATCCACAATTTTGAAGCGTAACAACGTTGGGCAATCACTTGGACGTGTTCGGTTTCCGCCGATCTTTCGATGACGAAGACGTGGCACTGCACTACATTTGCACACAGCTCCATTCGTTGTACCTCGAACATACACCGGCACAAATGGAGCATCGAGAGGCCTGGATGAAATATCTGCGTGATTCGAATCACCAGCTTTGCAACACGGTAT